ATCATTTAGTTTTTTATTGTTTCTTTCTTATTGAAGACTATTAAAAAATATTGGGTTCTAAACCACTGACATGTCAAAACGCAAATGGAGAAAATCAGCAATTCTTTGAAAATGTGTGTTTTGAAGAATAGAATAGAATAGAATAGAATAGAATAGAATAGAATGTATTTTAATTTGCACAGATATATTATATCACAGGCACATTGGAATTCAGTTGCATTTCTCCAACTCAAATATGGTAAAAGTTTATGATAAATATTACAGTATAAGATAAAATGGAAACATATAAAACAAAAATGCATTTTAAAAAGTACATTAAATGTCTGTGAATAAATAGTCATTGATTTTTCAATGTTAAAATCCTTTGTTAAAATGATAAAAGCTTGAGAAATTGTGGTAAAATATTTAATCCCAACCAGTGATGACTTAAGCATTGCATCAAATCTGCAGGTAATGTGGCTGCAGTGAAGATACAATTTTTTGAAATTCACACTCAGCATCGAAAAGCTCACTTGTGCTTTGCTCACTCTCTGAAAGCAGCTGTTGAGAAACAAGATGGAAAAACAGTCACTGACCTTTTGTATTTAAATTTTTACCAGGGTACTTTGCAGGCTCAAACTTGATCTTGCGAACTAGGAGCAGTCAGTTATCAAAAAGCATCTAAAAGAGGCATTTGCAGAGATAAAAAATGATCTGAAGGAAGAAGATGAAGTGAAAAGAGTCCATGAGGGCTTTTTGGCTAGTGGCTATGAAGAGCTATTACAGACGTAAGACAGGAAACAGAGAGGGATACAGGATGTTGCCTAAAGATGAAACAACTCCACGTTGAAATTCTAATAGAAGGATTACTCCTAAAATGTGCAGAAACCATTGTACATTGACAAACAATAAATTACATTTCAGCAGCACTACACTGTACACATTTTGCAGCAAGAAGAAATGGCATGCTGATACATTATAGGGGATGGATATACTGTATTTGAACCAGAGACTTTTTCATGACATTTCCTTGTTTGAATGTATAACCTAAAGTCCATTACTCAGCTTGACATTAAAATGGGATCAGTGTGCTGAAAAGAAAAGAATGATTTACTTTTGATGATCATGATTGCATTAGCCTCGAGCTTGTCTCTAGGTGCTGTGGAACATCTGTGTACTCATCTTCTGTGGAAGTGACTAAACATTTCATGTGATTAAATTGATCTAATTATTATCGTGTACAGCAGGTGCACTACATCCCACTAGTAAATATTCTAACAGTAATAAAAATAAAGTAATTCATGAACTTTGTCACTATAAAACTGGCAACAGGGCTTAAAGAATAATGTTTGTTGTGGCTTGATGACATGAGGATTTAAAGTATTTGAAGCCCAGTATAATTGCAATTTCAACCCGTCCTCAAGTGTATTACTTTACCTTGATCATTTGAAATTATTTCAAAGACTTCAACTATTTTTATTTCCTCAAACTGTTCTACATAGGCATTTCAGTTTTACAGAGAAATTGGTTCACTTTAGTAGTGAAAAGCATTAATAAACAATGCACTAATTGCTGATCTGCAGTTGGTAACTTGACTTGTTTTCACTAAATACAAAGGAAGTTAACACGTGTGTTCTGTACTCTAATTCTCTTCTTTCAGACTGCAGGTGAATGTTTTCAGAATCAGACGAAGGGAACAGATGAAGAAAGTAAGAAGAAACCAGAGATTCAGCAAGTTAGTTCAATTTTGTACATTCTTAACCCAGTCCTAKTTGTTTACATTATAAAAACTAAACCCAAAACTTTTAAAATAAGTTGGATGTTGTATAAAAGTATATAAACTAATGTGTTATTAATGGCATGTAATGACAAGAAATACACTTAGATGAAGAAAGAAGTGGGAATAAAAGGTTAAAGAAAAAAATATGGAAACAACACAGAATATAACATTGTTGGTGTGGGGGTGCACAATTTACAGGATCATTTCTGCTGATTCATGAAAAGGCAATTGCACAGAACAATCTGCAAAAAATATGGAATGGCAGTTGTGATTTTCACCAATAACAAGTAGTACTTACAGGACCAGTAGTGAAAAATGAGGCTAAATGTGGTGACAGAAACTAACATTGATCATAAGAATAGCTGTAATATGTTTTGATAATAAATCTAAGTAGAAATTTCCTAAAGAAACTCCATGAACAACACAAAACACAAAACCCTAACACAAACCTGCAACAATCCARTGAGAAGAACCAATACCACTGAAAAATACAAAATCCCTACCAGTGGCCTTTGACAACCGGACATTGACAATCACCAAAGTCAGCAAAAAGAAAAGACAACTGCAGACTAACAAGCAAGTCCTAAAGAGTGCAACCGCTGTGCAAATATACAAACCCTATTGCACAAACTCTCAAATCACAACTGGTTGAAAACTCAGAAGTCACATGTGCAAATGTCCACACTTTGACAGTACATGCACAAAGAAAGTGAGAAAGAAGAGATAATTTATAAAATCTTTCGAAGAATCTGTGATATTTATTTAGAAAAAAATAATTGTTTTGTTTGTTTTGTTTCAGGATTACACAATTGTTTTTATTAATTTATTTATC